ATGTCTTTCTTCTTCATGCCGGAATGTAAACCTTTTGTCCGTGTCGTAGCGAACAGGTATATATATATATATTGTCGTTCTTTTCTAAAAATCAAGAAAAGCGTTTCCATTTAACAAGATGTTTCTGTGATTTTTATTACAAAAGAGAATTTTTTCCTTAAATTCCAATCGAATACGATTATCAAATGAAAATATTATAAATATATAAATCTCCACCCCCTCCCCACCACCCCCCGCGTGTTATATCTGTTTAACTTTATTTACGTATTTATGAAATGCGATGATGTATTTGAAGAAGAAATTTTCAAACGTCCAACAAAACCTATCATCCAACGTACTAACGTCTGACAAGTACTGTCAAGGAAACAAAACCTCTGAAAATAATCGCATAAATTTTAATTAAAATAATTTATTTCATTCAGACGTCGTAATGCCAACGTCCAATAAGTAACGAATCTTCTCTTCAACGCAAACTTTATGCACGTTTATTGTCAATTTAATATTTTAATATTTACTTTTTTTTTTTCAAAAAGATTTGAAACCTACTCATTTCTCTTTCTATCTTTCTACCAATCTCAATACTTTTTCTCTCATTCTCTTTGCGAACGCAGTGGAAAGTGTACTTTTTTCTTTTTACTAACACACACACACACACACAGCACAGCACAAAAACTAGTGTGGAGTTTACAACGTCCTTTTCTTTCTTTAATCCACCCCCTACCCCCTTCTTCTTCTTCTTCTTCTTCTTCTCTTTTTTGTTTTTTTATTCTCTTTCCTACTTTTCCTCTTTCTCCTTCCCCTATCCTCCTCCTCCTCCTCCTCCTCCTCCTACTCTTCTTTCCTCATCTTTCTTCTCTTCTTCGTGCTTGCACGCCACGCGAAATCTATTCAATTTACTTTTTCTAGCAAGGGATCTACTCCGACGAAAGAAGATGTCTCTCTCTCTCTCTCTCTCTCTCTCTCTTCTTCTATCACTATCTCTCCTCCTTCTGTAAAAAATAAAAAAACGAGCAAAAGTGGAAGGACGACGAGCGAATAGCTAAGATCGTCCGTTAAAGTACACACGACGTTCCCAAGGACTACGACGACGACGACGACGACGACGGTGCTTAAAGCTTCGAGAGAGGGTCTTTCAAACTTCACAATTTCGTTCTCTTAACGTCAAAAAAGATTTCCTTCTGTGATTTCATCCTAACGTTTTATTTTCTTGCAACCTCTCTTTCCCTCTCTCTCCCCCTTGTTTTTTTTTCTTTCCTTCCAAACTATACCCAAAAGACTTTTAACAATTTCGATTCGATCTTTCTCGTAGTTGAAAATTCCTGGAACGATCGTTTAATTAAAGCGTATCTATCTATTCTTTCGAAAGACGAATAAAAAGTGTCATACAATAGTTGGAAAAAGTTGTTTAGAAATGACGACGAGAAGAGGAGAAGGAGGAGGAGGGAAAGAAGAGGGCTGGGACAACGTATCGCAAAGATTTTTAACTAGAAAATCTTTTATCAACGCATTTACTTGTACGTTTCTATTTAATTAATTATGTTAATGTCATAACAGAGTTGCTTAATTTATTTTTTCATTGAAAATAACAAGAAACTTTGTTTTAGAATGTATATTGTGTGTATGTAACGTATATGTATTATATTATTCATTTTAATCCCTACGAAATATTATTTGTTACTTTGGTGTACGAAGTTTTTAATGTTCTTTTTTTTTTTTTTTTTAATCTAAGTCACATACTTAATATAGTATTATAATATACATCGGATATTCTAATACAAGAAAAGATAATTTTACAAATGTTCGAAAAGCGTATACGTTGTGTTCGAAGAAAATATTTCGGACAAGAGATACCTGATATTATATATCATATATCATTTATTATATTTTATATATAAAAACAATTTCTCTTCTTTTTTATTCGAATATGAACTTATACGTGTCTCATAATTACGATATAATTTTTCATTAAAATAAAATACAACGAAATACGCGTAATTTCGTCTAGGAATAATTTTTGTTCGTACTAAAACCGACAAAAATAAAATCAAATCAAATCAAATTAAAATATAAGAAAATATAAAAAAGAAAGAAAGAAATAATAAATAATATTACACAAAGGATTAACAATCCCTCTATATGATAATGTTATCAACAATTTATTCCTTTTTTTTTATTTAAACAAAAGAAACGTTAAAGGATTGAATCATTATCGGATATGGTAGTAAATAAATGCTTTAACGCGTTAACGAAAAGCTCTCGAAACGATTCTATGAGAAAGTTCGATAACATTTTAGTTGAAGGAGAATTCATAGAAGTTTTACCATTCTCTCATGGAATCCGTTGGCATTAAAAGGAGGATGTGGAAGGACTAACCAAGCCCTCTAGTAGCTTTAAGCTAGTAGAAGATCCGAATGTGAAACGTGTACTTTCGGAATCGAATAGTAGGAGTGTTAAGCGCGTATAAATTCCAAACGCGAATTGTTATTACCATCGTGTATGGTAGTGATGGTGGTGGTGGTAGTGGTAGATGATGTTTCGTTGAATAGTGCTTACTCGCTTATTCGCGTCTGCCATAAATGGTTACCACCAATTTATGTTCACGTCGCAAACTTTCATCTAGAGAAAAGCAAGAAAATTGAAATTTTTTTTCCTCATTCCCCCATTTTTTCTTATATCTCATATCATATTTTCTTTCTTTCCTCGGTCAATCCTTTTTTCTTGGTTAACAAAAAAAAAAAAAAAAGAAAAAAAAAGAGGTGATAGCGGGGTCGAACAAATTCGCAGTGTGAAAATGTCTTCTAATCGTTAAACGTTTAACGAGAAGAAACGTTCGATGGAAATGTATAAAAACATAAAAAAAAAAGAAAAAGAAAAAGAAAAAAAAAAAAGAAAAACCATAAAGGAAGAAAATCAGGGAGGATAGAAATAAAAGTGAGGAGAAAAAACGAATCGAAAAGCTTTCCGAGATTGGCCGTTGGAAAGAAGCTCGGTTTGGTAATATAGAACCCTGAGCTGGTTGGTCGGCCGGCTGAATGTTCGAGTACTAATCCTAGTGTAATAATGGCTTACGCGCTAGCAAGCTCGCAAGCTCGCAAGCTCACTTCTCTAGTAGCGAGGACGTGGCCAGTCCTCTACTTGACTCCGCAGTATTACCGACCACTTCTACCCTCATCGGACGTGACCTCCGACCCATTATACGATCCTTTTTATTCCGCTATATGATTCGTAAATCTTTTCGGCTTTTCTACACGAATCGCACAAGACTATACTATAAAAAATATATATATATATATATGTATATTATTATACTCATATATCTAAGAAAATAAACGACTGGAACTAGTTTTTTTAATTAATATATATATTTTGTTTATTATATAATATTAAGATAATATGTATTGACACGTGAACTGTAAATGATCAAGTTGCTGATGAAGTCCCCAGTAAGGGACGAAACGTACAACTAGTTCTAAATAAATTGTTCATTAGATTTATTAACCGTCTATAATTCCCTTTTAGACTTATATATTAATTATTAATTTATTTTATTTATAAAATAAACGACCATAATAGTTTGACCGATGTTATCAACAATTTTTTCTTCTTATTTATTTTATAATAATCATTTTCATTATATCGTACGAATTTTAAATGGAAAAACATTTCATTTGTTGTTTTTGTTTTTTTTTTTTTTCATCCTACTAATCCAAAACATTTATATCACGTCACGTCATATACTTTTCAAATAGATTAAAAAAAAAAAAAGAAAAAATAGAAAAGATCGAGCGAGAATAAGGGACTATCTTAAGATTTATGCAAACGTAAACGCTGATGTTGTATCCTACGTGCACCGGTTGCTGCATATATTCTTTAAAGGATATACTTGAAAATATGTGTACGTATAAGAGAAGAGAAGAGAAGAGAAGAGAAAAAAAGAAAGAAAGAAAAAAACTACAAAATTACAAAATACATGCTAAAATAAAAGTACGAAAAGTCGTCTAACCGAGATACCCTTTAACATTCAAATAAAAATCCCTGTTTTCATCCCACATTCTGCTTATATTCGGTCGGCATTTTAATATTTCCATATGAAAGGTTTAATCCGTGATCTGATCGATTTAAATGAAAATGCGACGATCTTCTTTAGGAAAAACGATGATCGAGAGGGCGGGTGAAGGAGATTAAGAGAAAGAGGAGGAAGGGTGGAGGGAGGGTGGACGGGAAAGGGAGAGGAAAAGAACGGAAAAAAAAAAAAGCAGAAGAATAATAAAAAGAAAATGCGACGATTTATTCGTGCGAATGAATTCGAACGTTGAAAAACAAAAAAGGGCGTGGGAGAAGGGTGGGGAGGAAAGGGTTGGTAAAACCTGCCGACGTAAGCGACCGAATAAAGAAGAAAAAGGGATGGCAACGAGAAGATATAGGAGGAAAAGAGGAAGAGGAAGAAGAAGAAGATGGGGAGTAAAAAAAAAGAATAAACGGGAGAAAGAAAATAAAATATATATATATATATATAATAAAAAAGAAAAAAAAAAGAAAGGGTCGCAAGAGAGTGGCATCGAATGTTGCTTTCGAAATAGATACGAGGCGTTTTCCCTTTCCAAGTTGACTCTAGTACTAACGGTAAAGGAAGATCGTGGAAAAGTCACGCGCGCCGTTTGTCTTTTTCCCTTTGCCTCTCTAACCCCCTTTTTCTACCATCCTCTATACCACCAGACACCACTACGAATATAACAACTTTAGGCTTTGCTACTTTGCCAGCTTGAAACCGAATGTTGCACTACGGTATTAGCGTCGTTCTTCGGTTTTCCCATGTATTTTCCAAACAAATTCACGTATTTCTCTTGAAGCAACCATTTCAATTCAATTTACATGTACACGTGTATATATATATATAGGAGCATATAAACCGTCTATATGTAAAGAGATATTTACTTATGTTATATTAGATACGTGAATTGATCAACATGTGATATGTTTTTTCTATTTTATTTTTTCAGCGACAGCGGCATGGCCGAGGCAGGAGCAGCCCTGTCCAATAGCAGGAGACTTTTGCATGAACGGTGGTACCTGCCTATTTTTTGAGACTGTCGGTGAACCAGCATGCAGGTGAATACAAACAAACATTCGTTTTATCTTTTTTTTTTGGTTCTTTCGTGAAATTTCTTTTATTTACCAGAAAATTTATCGAATAATTTTCGATTTAAACTCGTTTAACACGTATATATTGATCGTATTATTATATTTATTATATATTCGGATTATTATTATTATTATTATCATCATCTTCTCTAGACAATATTTCGTAAAAATTCTCTCCTTCTTTTATTTTCATTTCTAACAGAAAACAATTCGATTATCTGCGAGATAGTTGAATTCGAGTAGTATATTCGCGATACTGGAAGGAATAAAAATGTTAACGCGAAAACGAGATACGTCGAAATAAAGTTTACTACTCCTCTCTCTTTCTTTCTTTTCAACGGTCAAATTTATTTTCTCGAGAAACGGAAGAAAATCGATTTTAAATATAGATGGACAGGATATCGACGCGTTAAACGATACCTTCCGTTAGATATATATATATATATATATATATATATTTCTTTTTTTGTATTTCATCTTATACAAGAAACTTCTTCCCTTTTTCACGCTTGACTTCTTCTTATCGAAGAGACACTGAATATAATATACGAAATATTCTGTGAAGTATTAAATTCGTCGATGGAGTTGTATTTATTATTATCGATCTTATTACAAAAAAAAAAAAAAAAAAAAAAAAGAAAAAATTCAACACATTACGATGTAGAATAGAAATGATTTATTTAAAAAAGTGCGTTCATTATTTAATGACAGTAGACATGAGAGATGAAAAATAACGGCGTTAGTTGTTTCGTGTACTTTGCGAATGAAATTTATTCTAACGTGTTATGCGCGCGCGCGCGAGAAACTAGTGCAAATAAATATATTATACATACTTACATTAAATCCCCGCCTATATATTTCGCATCCCCATATATATTTCCTGTTGGTATAAAACAAAAGACTCACTGAAAGCACCCACGTGAAAGCACTTAAAGCTTAAGTACGTATCACGTATAACGAAAAAAAAAAAAACAAAAATAAAAAATAAAAAACAAGTATGTACATATACTAGACGTTTAGAGTACACGAGTATACACGTATATTATAATACATACGACTCTGACTCTAAAATTTAAATATACTAACATGAAAAAGAGAGTTCGTTTGTTCGTTAAAAAAAAAAGAAATAAATAAAAAACAAAAAAGGAAAAGAAATACTTGGATCGTGGTGTAATCATGGAAAATTCTGTCACCGTTAGGAAAGAACTAACAAAAAGGTGTTAGAACGAGTGGTGGAGATGGGGGAGGGATACTATTTGCAATTGCTGAGAATATACAACGAAGAATAAATTGATCGTGGGATCCTGGCGTACTTGCGACCTAAAAAAAAAAAAAGAAAATATGTGAAATAATACGGGTAAGGTAGATACGTATACATATATATATATATATATATATATATATATATATGTTATATATGTCATATGTACTTTCCATCGGTGCATTTTGACGTCGGTGGGTGCACTCGTTAAACAAATTTGGTGGACCAGTCGGCGCCGGTTATCCGTGAGATAAAAGCTACTCCCGAGAGAGGATCCTCGTAGGCTTTGAAGGTGAAAGAGATGGAGACAGGAGAGAAAGAGAACATATGTAGAGAAAAGTGGGGGGGGGGGAAAAGGTCAAAATGAGTAGCGAACGAGTGTATGTGTGTATATATATGTGAGAGAGAGAGAGAGAAAAAGAGATGGGGTTTGGGGGAGGAAGAGATGAGAGTATCAGAAACAAGAAAAAAAAAGAAAACAAAAAGGGTTAGGTAGATAGAAAGAGTGGACGTTATGGCCTATAGCCAGGGTAAAGGGAACGAACGTATACCACCACTACTACGGTGTCATCGGTTGACGAGGGTTTATTGGCTTTATCGAGAAATCGAGTCGTTCCCAGAGGAATAGAAGGATAGAAAGAGAAAGATAAAAAGAGAATGAGAGAGAGAGAGAGAGAAAAGTCGACGGATTGAAAGGAAGATGCGTGACGCATTTCGGACGCGACGCGCGTGTTTCTATTCGATCGAGCTCATCCAATGATCTGCAAAAAAAAAAAAGAAAGGAAAATAAAAATAAAAAAGAGAGCAAAAGAGAACGATAAAGAAAAAGAAACGAAAAAAAAAA